GGAAGTTTTACAATTCTGTGTGGCAGGTATTACCAATCCCATTTTATAGGTGGGGAGTCTGAGGCTCAGAGGGTTGAAGTGACTTCCCCCTGTCTCCAGGGTTACAGAGTGAAGGCTGGGATTCTTCTCAAATGTTGTTTGCTCTTTTCTGCCACTGCCTCTGAGCTTTGTAGAAATGCTCTGAACAGGCTTGGCTTCCTAAGACATCAGAGAATGGGTTCTTCTTGTTCCCATGTCTCCTTGGGTTGAGCCACTTCTTTTTAAAAAATTACCTTTCTTATGCTGATGATCTAACGATTCTCTGTCCCAGGCTTCCCTGCAACCCCTGTGCCACAACCAATGCATGTGACAAGCCTATTGGACCATGTGTCACCAACCCTTGTTGTTCCCGCTCCCGCTGTGGGCCCTGCTAGATCCCCAGAGCCAGCAGGAGGATTGCATGAAGACAGAAAGACCATCGAAGGAACAGCTCTGCCTCTCTGACAACCATCAGCCAAAGCCCATCCCAAAGCATCACCGTAAATTGTGGTCTGGAAGAGAACAAAAGCCCAGCATTGTGGCCTGACTGAGCCCAGGCCCACCCAGTCCTCTTCATCCAAGGCCTGTCGCTTGTAGTTGGTCTGAGTTTTGATGATCTGAGAGGTCTGAGTCGTGAATGGGATTATACAACGTGTTTGTTCTTCTCTGCTTCTTCTGACTTCCTTGCAGTTCCCCCAATCTCCTAATAAACTTTCCTCTTGCAAAGCAGACATGATTCTCATTTGTCTTCACTCTTTTCAAAGTGTTCTCTCTTTGTGTGCTTCTTCTAAAGCCACTTGAAAGCAGAAGAGGACTTGACAGTTTAACCCTCTCCTGAAAGGTCTTCGTCACCATTCGTTAGCGTTCATGAGGCCCAGTGAGCCCCAGCATCCACTCAGGCCAGCACAAAACTAAGTGGGGACACTTGTGCAAGAGGCCTCTTCTGAATAGGATAAACCCATATGCTATTGGACCTTCCTCAGTAAAATGCAACAGTTAACATTTCTAGAAAGTTCCACTTTTTCTTTTGCTAGTCCCTACAAGAAGAGGACAGGAGCTTACATTTACCAAACACCT